TTGGGTACCAGGGGTGGGGTGGGGGGAGTTTAGGGAGGTATCAGTCAAAAGATACAAGATTTCCATTAGGAGGAAACTGGCTAAGTGGTCTGTGTACCATTCAGAGTGAAGTGTTATGCTCGAATTCGGGACCCCCAAAAGACCACCAGAGACCCAAGATCGATGTAAGCAGCAAAGAGGTGTTTATTGCCAGCTAGCTCGGTCCTCCACACATGCACACAGCAACTGGTGACGCTGAGAGGCCCCAAGCCCAGGGTTTGCAGCAGTTTTACACATTCTTTGGAGAAGGCAGGGACTTCTCATACATCATAGCATCCCTTAGCAAATCATCACACTCCTCGGGAAAATCAAATAACAACTCTAAAACATGATTAGCACATTCACTGGCGGGAACAAGTTGGGTAGGGGTGATTGGTTACTACAAGAGGGGTATTCATTTGAACTGATTGGTTTAAGCCAAGAGGGGTGTTCGTGCTGAACTACATGGTTTCCCAACACATTATCAACCACCATAAACTACTGGGAGGGTCATCTGGCATCCCAGGTATTGCCCTGTCTCATGCTGATTGGTGGCTGCTAGGGTGTTGCTAAGGGTCCCCACCTAGGCTGACTGAGTCAGGGACACCTGGCGCAGCAGATCTCTCCTGTCATTTGTAGATAAACAACTTAGCAGGGTGGGAATGTGCCTAGGAGTGCTCTGTGGGTCTTTCCAAGGGCAAAGGTGATGTCCCTTCCTTGGACAGGCTTTGCTCTGACGTAGAGGCTGGTTTGTCATTCCCCCCTTTGTCTGGAAACTTGGGAACCAATCATGGTTTCCTCAGTTGGGGGCCTATCTGGGCTGGCTCTACATCTTGGTAAACAGTAAAACTCAGGGGTCAGTCTTAAACTTCCCACTCACTCAAAATTGGCCTCCTAGATCCAACCTGACTCGATTTACCTGTCTACACTGCCTATCCATTTGTGGTTTTTCAGAACCACCCACGACTGGACGGGGGGCACGTGATGCAGCCCCAGTAGCGCGAGAACTCAACCAGCCTTCTGTTTCCGCCATGGAAATGGAATATAGAATTGTCATCCCATCAAGACGGAATCCAAGACTCTGGGTCCACAGGCCAGCAGAAAACCCCATCAGGGCCGAGAGTTCAGGCCAATGAACAAAGTCATGTTACCTTCCAGGTTAGAGCCTGCTGATGTCATAGTCCACCTCTTCCCGTTTCTAATTTGTTGTGAGGTCTGTTATCCTCAGTACCAACTGCAGTATAGACACCCCTCTCTTGAGATTGAAGGTCATCTTGCAGTCAGAGGGGTCAGCAGGGGCTGCGGGGAAGCAGTCTCCTTACACAGAGCTCAGCTCAGAGCGGCCGCGGCACAGCGCCCCCCGGCGGCCCTCCTGATAAACCCGCACGGAGCAGCACCTGGGCCTTGGGAAGGTCTGCAGGGAAGGGCGCTGGGATGGCCTGCCACCTAGGGCGCTGGAAACAGACCCTGGCCCCCTGCGGGATAAACCGCGCTCTCGGATGTCCTCCAAGTGGAGGTTCACAGCGGTTTTCTTCCTGCGGAAACAGCCTCGACCTGGGTGAGTGAAGAAATGCAGCGTGGGGGGTCCAGCGGGGAGCCCCAGGCAGGAGGCAGAGCAGCAGCCCGTGGTGTGGACAGGGAAGGCCCGGCTCCGGAGCATGCTGCACCCTGTGCGCACAACCAGCTGAAGTCCCACAAGGGCAAAGGAACCCACCTGGACAGGGGCCGCCGGCAGAGCCATTTAGAGGGGCAAGGAACTGAGCAGAAGCCCAGGAGACCCGCTGCTGCTGTGGGCGGTCCACATCTGCCCAGGAGGCCCGCTGCCTGCTGTGAGCGGTCTACATCTGCCCAGGAGGCCCGCTGCCTGCTGTGGGCAGTCCACATCTGCCCAGGAGACCCGCTGCTGCTGTGGGCGGTCCACATCTGCCCAGGAGGCCCGCTGCCTGCTGTGGGCGGTCCACATCTGCCCAGGAGACCCGCTGCCTGCTGTGGGCGGTCCACATCTGCCCAGGAGGCTGTTGCACAGGTACGGAGACCTGTGCAAGTCCCCAAACCCTGCACTTCCCACAGGGAGTCAGTCTCCTGTATGCCCATCATACCTTAGAGCTGGTGAACGGAAGACAGGTAGGGAGGGCGATGATGGAGAGACAATGCATAAATGATAGATTAATAGATGACAGGTGATCGATAGATAGGGAGGGAGGGAGGGAGGCAGACAGGCTTAGGGATGTAGCTCACACTCGCCTAGAGTGAGTCAGGCCCTAGGTTCGATTCCCAGCACAGCAAAACAAATCCGTACATCCCTAAGGATACAGTGAGAAGATCCAAATCACAAAAATAAATAGAAAGTAAAGGCAGTGACAAATTGGGTAAATTTAAATGAGTATTGGCTAAATCACAAAATAATGTCTTGTAGGTTTTAATGATAAATAGAGATGACTAAAAAACTTGAAACTCAACGTTGAAACCCTGTTGGACGAAGGGTAAGCAGAGATCAAGTTCTGAGCTCCCTGTACTGTACATTTCTCTGGCAGAAAGCTGTGCTTTACTAGAAGGCCCCATGCACTGGTTGTGGCCCTGGGGGCCTAACATCTGTGGGTGCCATTAATCCTCCCACTATAGACCATCCGGTGGCCCCCAAATACCCCCACATTTGTCCCACAAGCAGAATACACTCACTCCACCAAAGTTCCCCTGAAGTCTTCCCCCACTACAGCATTAACCCAAGTCCTCAAACTCACAGAAACAGAATCCATTAGAAAAACCCAATTTCATCTAAATAAGGTGTGGTGGGTCTCAGGACATGACCCCTCACAAAAGTCCTCTGCACCTTGGGCTTGGGGAACTATGACGCAAATCACAAATCACAGGCGGGTCAGGCATGAGGCAATGCTTACAGAAACCGCTCTTCCAGCAGGGAACAGAAGGGCTTCCCCAGACCCAGAAACCATGGAACCCAGCAGAACTGACCTCTGGGCTTGAGCTGCAGGTGCCCTGTGGCCTGCATCCCAGGCGCTGCCTCCACAGCCTGCCGCACTCTGGACCTGCCTCTCTGCCCACGCAGCCCCTCTTTTCTTGACGGTGCCAACTGCTGCCCCCAGATCACTTGATCACCCTGTCCACTGTAGAATTTTGGAAGTCCAACAGCGTTTCTTCATGCTGCCTTCTCCACCCCTTTATCCCAAGTTGGCAGAGATTTTGCTGATAGAACTCTCAAAAGCCAACGTGGGTCTTCCATGGTATGGAGGGACCTCACCCCAGACAAGAACCCCCAGATTGCTCCTGGGCCATACCATGCCCCTCCTGCTTCTGGGACGTGGTTGTGTGGGTTCAGGAGACACTGGACTAATCTCCTCAGCAACATGGTTGGCCAGACACCCCAGGTCTGTCCAGAGCTTTCCCAGTTGTTAAAATCCCCATCCAAGTCTCTGCAGTCTGGACGGGCTGAGACTCCCCCAGATGATCAGGGGCTGGCTCCTGGGCTGGGCAGTCCTTTCCTGTAGCATCCCCCTGCTCTCACATCACAAGGACCAGGAAAACACCAGGGTGTGCCCTCGGTTAGAGGTCTTCTGGGTCGGGGTCCCACCCATCACAGTTCTGCCTCCTGCACGCCCTGCAACCTGACTGACTAAGCTGAGTGTCCTGCAAGCAGGTGACCAGGACAGCCTTGCCTGTCGTCTCCAGTACCTGCTCCCCGATTCCTGCTGAGTCCCCCCAGGGCACCTTGAACCTCCATACGTCTGCCCATAGCTTGTTCCACACAACCCAGGCTTTCTCTAGCTTCCACCTCACAATCCCTGCAGCCCCTACCCAGCACCCAATCTCCAAACCACTCCCACATTTCTAGATCCTCCTCACAGCCAAGCTCCAAATACCAAAGCCAGCACCGTCTCCTGTGGGTGCAGCTTGCCATCACAGAACCCACACATGCCACCCTGTGCCAGAAGTGCCACCTCAGCCTCAGGAGCTGACGGAGCTCAGCACGCTGCCCCTGCAGGCCCCGGGGAGGACCACTTGTGCGTGTGCCGCTGCTGGAGGGGATGGGGAATCAGCAACCCCTGGGGGAGGGATCAAGGCTCTCTGACCTTGGCATCTCCATTCATCTCTCTCTTCTCTTTGCAGCAAACCTCCCTCTGTCTCCCCATAAGGACACGTTGAGGGTCCATCTGTACTATCCGAGATAAGGCCCCCAGTCATATCTGCAGGGATTCTCCCAATAAGAGCATTCCCAGGTCACATGGACTAGGGCATCCTCTCCTTGGTAAGGACAGGATCATCCTAATATAGCACGTGAACCCCAAATAGAAAAGAGTGGAAGTCCAGACAGATGTGCGGGAGACTGGGCATGCTGCCACCACCCACGGGCCACAGCAGGCAGCACAGGAGGCCGGTGGCCAGCACCCAGGAAGCCCAGTCAGTCAGACTGAAGTGGCACGGACAAGGAAAGGGCCAAATTTAGAAACCTACGGACATGGCTAGTACATGCAGTCGTGGGAAAGCAGGAAAAGAATACAGCAGGAGAGAACGTGACCTGAGGAAACACCCTGCACACAGGAGGAAGTGACCAGGTGCCTGACCCCCGGCAGGTACATAAAGCCCTGGCTCAGGAGGCCCCACACCTCACTCCTCCCTCTCCACCTGCTGCTCTCACCTCCTCCACCCTCCACCTCCAGAACCATGACCTGCTGTGGCTGCTCCCGGGGCTGTGGCTCCAGCTGTGGGGGTTGTGGCTCCAGCTGCTGCAAGCCCGTGTGCTGCTGCAAGCCCGTATGCTGCTGTGTGCCAGCCTGTTCTTGCTCCAGCTGTGGCTCCTGTGGGGGCTGCAAGGGGGGCTGTGGCTCCTGTGGGGGCTGCAAGGGGGACTGTAGCTCCTGTGGGGGCTGCAAGTCCAGCTGCTGTCAGTCCAGCTGCTGCAAACCCTGCTGCTGCCAGTCCAGCTGCTGCAAGTCCAGCTGCTGCCAGGATAGCTGCTGCAAGTCCAGCTGCTGCAAGCCCTGCTGCTGCCAGTCCAGCTGCTGCAAGTCCAGCTGCTGCCAGGATAGCTGCTGCAAGTCCAGCTGCTGCAACCCCTGCTGCTGCCAGTCCAGCTGCTGCAAGCCCTGCTGCTGCCAGTCCAGCTGCTGCAAGCCGTGCTGCTGCCAGTCCAGCTGCTGCAAGCCCTGCTGCTGCCAGGACAGCTGCTGCAAGTCCAGCTGCTGCAAGCCCTGCTGCTGCCAGTCCAGCTGCTGCAAGCCCTGCTGCTGCCAGGACAGCTGCTGCAAGTCCAGCTGCTGCAAGCCCTGCTGCTGCCAGTCCAGCTGCTGCAAGCCCTGCTGCTGCCAGTCCAGCTGCTGCAAGCCCTGCTGCTGTGCCCCTATTTGCTGTCAGTGCAAGATCTGAGGTTCTGGCTGCAGGTGGCAAGGGGCTTGAATGTGCCTAGCACCTCACACCAAAGCCATTCCTCACCATTCTGAACCCCTCCTTTCAGAAGATGCACTTCCAGTGATTGGGTTCCCAGATTCTGTAGGATCAGGAGCTCTTTGTGCTGGCTCCTGCTACCCTGGAATCTCCAAGCTCACTCACCTTCAGGTGCTAATCATGTCCCTCCAGGGCTCCCTCAGCCAACACAGTCCCAGAGCCCATCACTGCTTTTCACCAGGGGAACTTGGCTGAGCCAAGTTTCTGAGTCAACCTGGGTCACTTTCTGAGCCCAGTGCCTCTGCACATCCCAGGATCTGCACATTACCAGCCCTCACACACTGCCCCTGCTACCAGCCCTGGAAGCTGCCTGCACAGCAGCCACCTGCCAAGGGGTGGACTGCAGCTGCTAACCACTCTGAGGAAACTTACTGCTAAAGAATTCATAAATAAATACAGGGGCTGGGATGGTGGCTCAGCGGTAGAGCGCTGGCCCAGCAAGGGCGGGACCTGGGTTCGGTCCTCAGCACCACATAAAAATAAAGGCATTGTGTTGTGTCCATCTACACCTAAAAATAAATGTTAAATCAATCAATCAATCAATAAACAAACAAACACACACACACACCCTACTGGACTCCTGACTCCACAGTGCTTTAACAAACAGTCCATTGGGGGAGCAAAACCATCTGGGCCTGCGCAGAGGGAGCCTCCTCTGATGGGGGTGGGTCTGGGGCACTTACTGCAATCTCAGCAGGGCCATTGCTACCTGCTTTGCTGCCATGGTCCAGTGCAGTTATGAAAGAGGATGGAACAACTGGTAATGGTTAGAAGGAGAGAGCAACCTCCTGTGAACCAGATGGAATGGGGGGAGGGCAACCCAACACAGTAGGAGCAAGTGCAGGGAGAGGGTCTGACCAACCAGCAGGTGCCACTCCCTGAGCAGCAACTGTGTAGAAAGCACTTCACAAATCTAAGGCCAGGGACTGCCCTCTGAGTAAGAGCACTTGCCTAGCATGTTGGAAGCCTGGGCTCCTCCCCAGCTCAGCAAAAGTTCTTGAAGACTGGGGAAATACAGGCTTTTGGATTGAACCTAGGATAAACCTTTTTTTTTTTTCTTAAGCACGGATTGAGGCCAGGGACACTTAATTATGAAGCCATATCCCCCATCCCCACCCCATCACATCATCCCCTCCACCATGACAAGAGTCCCCCTCTCCTCCCTTTGTCTGTTGGAATACAACATTTTGTTTCAATAAATCATCTTTTATCGCTGCAAAACAGGCCGTGTGATCCTTTCATTTCTGGTCTTCCATGTACTGGTGGACAAGCAAGCCCATTGTAAACAGCCCGGGGCAGACTGGGCAGAGGCGGAGTGGGCCAGCCTGCCTGACTGCTCTGCTCACCTCCAGGCTTCCATCCACCTCCAGACCTGGGGTCCCTCCACCCATGTCGCACAAAGCACACCAGGAGGCCTGCAAGAGGCTCCAAGTTGTGGGTTGGAGTCCTCCCTGACTGTCCCTTCTGTGCAGGCAATGTGGGCCGGGCCCAGTGCCCCTTGGTCCTCCTCCTGGTTCTCAGAGCCCGTGACATGTTCCCAGGCACCTGGTGTCTGGTTTCTGGCGTGCTCAGGCTCAGCCACTCTGCCCTGGAGTCCCGGCCACGTGAGAGGGCCTGGGAAGGACCTTCAACCCATCTCTCCTCTTCCTGGTGGTTGTGTCCTGAGCTGCTGTCCTCTCTGAGGCCTTCTACGTGATGTTCTGCCCCACCTTGGCCCCGAGCAGTGGTGTCAGCGCTCGGGTAGGTGAGACCTCAGAAGCCATGAGCCAAAGTCAACCCACCTCATCTAAATTTGGTCTTGCCCCGTCTTCTGGTCATTGCAATGAAAAAGCTGACTATCACAATAAGAATGAGGACTGTCCCCATGGGAATGCCAAACCCTCCTCACCAGGCCTCCGGGGACCTGGGGAGAGCGGGTCTCAGGCCAAGCAGTTCTCATCTTCAGAGGGCGACTTGGTTTCTTGGGAAGCCCACACAGGTGGCAAGTGGTCAGATGATCACCAGCACTTGGAGGCCCTACATGTTCTCTAGACACACCTCCCCAGTCCACGCAGCCCTGGACTGCAGGTGGCACTATGTTCTGTAAAGGGGCCAAGCCATAGAAGAGAGACTTTCAATCCCAGCTCAGAGGCTGGAACCACCCTGGCATGGCACGTCTGGGTTCCCCGTCCCCCCACCCTCACCTCAGTCATCAGCCATGAGGGGCTCCCTGTGCCTCCTCCCCAGCAGGCTCCCCACCAAGAAGACGGCTGGGTGAGCCGTGCTGACCACACTGGAGGGGAGCCACAGCAGTCAGAGGCCAGGCTCAGATACTCTAATGGCAGGTACATAATGAGAGTGAGGGGCAGGCCCCAAAGTAGCAAGGTGACAGCCAAGACACAGATGTCACGGCACATCCTGGCAACAGGACAATGCCAGGAGTGGCATATGCCAAGGACAGCTAGGGTCAGGCTGGACACGCACATCCCAGAGCAAGTGAGAACCTGAAATATTGTCACGCCTTCTAGAAATGGGCCACACCCCGGGATGCTCCCAGCAGTCCTAGGCCTCAGTCCCCACCAGCAGACAGAGGGCCAGAGTCCAGCCTAGTGAACTGACCACGGCAGAAGTTTGCCTGAGTGGTGTCGTGTCCAGGTGGGAAAGAGGGTGCCCAGAGAGCTCTCGGTGCTCACGGCCACCAGGAGGCCGAGGCCCACTGTGTCTGAGAAGGAGGTCATGGGCTCCAGGGTGGCAGCCACATGCAATACCCCCCCTGGGTGACACCCCTGAGCGTCCCAGCAAGGTCCAGCCAGGCCGGAGAGACCAATGACAAGAGCAACTGCCAGGCTGAGGACTAGGCCTCGGTGGGGCTGCTCTGGAGGGGAGGCAGAGAAGCCAGCAGACCACAGAAGGCCACGGGCACCCTGAGGGGGAACCACATGCCCAGGACTGCTCCCCTCTGTGTCCAGGGCTGTCTGTCCCATTGTGAAGATCCAGCACCCAGGAGACTGGCCTCCATAAGAGCCATCATATCTCAGTGGCCCGTGATCTCCCACCCGTCTGACCCTTAATTGCTGTGTCCTCAACAATGGTTCCCCAAACGAAGAAGGATCTCAGAGAAGCCACAACCTCTGTGCCTGGGTCCACCTACCACCCCAGGCCCAGCCCGGAGCCACACCCAGGAAGCTCTGCCTGCACGTCTCCAGGGGGCTCCAGCAGGCAGGGGCTCAGATGCACCATTTTGGCTCTGCAGTGTAAAGACGGGGGCGCTCTCACCCTGTCCCAAAGCCCCCGGGGCCGCTGCACCTGGGGAGCACTGCAGGGCTCCATATGGGCTCAGGTCTATATGAGGCAGTGAGGTCCTTTCTCTTTTCTCCTACTAATTTCAACCCGTCAGTCGGCTTACCGACAACTCATTTCCATCAAGTCTCTCGAGGTCAGATGAGAAATTCAGGTCTGTCCCGGACATGTCATTGTGTGCCTCGCTCATCGGGGACCTGGGGAGCACAGTGTGTCACTCGGCCCCCAGCTTGTGTGCCTTTTCCCCGGGGCCTAGATTGACTCCCCAAACTAGCAGGCCGGGCACCGTGGGCAGGACTGGTCTGGAGGCGTGGGAACATGGGAGAGAACGCCCTCCTGGAGCTGCCCACAGCAGAGGCCGGGCCCTGCCCCCTTCACCTCCCGGGCACAGGACTGTGGATGGCTGGTGCACTCCCCTCCTGGTAGCAGCCCGTGGGCGTGCCCCTCACACCTTCCTGAAGAGCGGGTGTGGGGGCTCCTGCGTCCTTCTCCAGGTGGCTGGAGAGTCGCCAGTGAAGACCTCTGGCCCCATGCTTTACCCTGTGGGAGATTCTTAGTTACAGTTGGACTCTTCTTCTTCCAGGTAAGCTCCTATCTCCTGCTTCTTCTCCAGTTGGGTAAGACAAGACCCTCTGGGAGGCTTCCCCTCCTCCATGTCATCTGGCTCCTGAGCGGAAGGTCGTCTGGGTTTCCCTCCCACCCTCCCAGTCTGTAAAGCTGGTAGCTCTTCCTGGGTGGCCTCTGCTTGGAGCACCTGCAGTCCTGGGCCCCTCAGCCCTGTGGGAGGCCCCTCTCTGCAGCTGTCTTCAGACAGCCAACCTGGGGTCTCCCCTCCCTCTCCTGTGTCTACTTCACTTCCCCTTCACGCTCCCCATCACCTCCTTCCTTCTGCTTGCTCTCAGTGTAGCTTTCCCTTCTGCATTGCTTCTTATTTTATAATTGAAGCTGTTCATTCTGCAGAATAATGGGTTGCACTAGGGCATATCTATGCCTGCTTACAATGGTGATGGTTGGAGAGCTTTCTCTTTGCCGAGGTAGGCATCTGCTGCTGAGCTCCCCTCTCAGCACTGCTTTTTCTCCATCTAGAGAGTCAGTGTGCGGTGTTGTTGGTGTCCTCTGAGCCGTCATAACTTACCCTGTGACTCAGGCACCCCACACCGAGGCGTTTCCTCCAGAGAGATAAGAACACGTACAGAATCCAAGATGGTGGGCCAGACAGAGGCAGCATTCTGTGTTGCTCTGTGACCCAGTCTCACCGAGTGGGTATACTGCATCTCTGAGAGGGACAGAGAACGCCTATACAGCTGCTCTTGTGCAGAAATCACCACGATGTACCCTTCCTTGTTCAGGGATCTGGCCTCAGCGTTTGCCGCAGTCTGGCTGCAGCAAACTAACCAGGGGGTGACGAGGAACTTGTGAAGATTGATACAGCAGGAGTGGGAGCCGTTTATTGTAGGACAGGAGGGGTATATATACATTGCTGAATACACACAGTTTATCTTAATTAACATAAACTAGATACAGCAGTCAACCAATAAGGAATCTCCACACTTAATGGCTCACTGGCATTACTTCACAAACCACTCCCTCTGGCAAAATGCCAGGCGCCATCTTGACTTGTTTACAGACCCTAACATCTCCCCCTTTTGTTTAATTTAAATAACAAGTATGTGGCTTAGGGACCATGCCTGTTTTAGATTGTCCAATACTACATATGGTCCTTACCCGTCATTGGATGGTCTGACCTCAAATCGTCAGCCTCCTGTCTTAGGTTGGTACCATTGCAATTGGATCTTACCCGTCTTTGACTACCAGCCCAACACACTCAGCCACACTTGTGGATAACGACCATAGTGGTTTTTACACAAACACCATAAATAATCTGCTACAAGCAGAAGGGGAGGATACAAAATGCCACCAAGCCAATTGATGGCTCCAAGTACCACAGATGACACCATCAGCAAAGATACCCTGGTACTACCACATTCGTTGCATCAACAGATAGTTCACAATGCATATAAGTAACACATAGTCCAGGTAAATCACAGTACAGGTAAATTCACAGTCCAGATAAGTTCTGCAGGAAGCTAGCTTGATCCGAAGTCTTGTCCGGTTCTCAGCAACACTGGAAATTCTTCCACCTTCATCTTCATCGGCACTGGGAAGAAGGCAGGAACTCCGGCAATGATGCTAAAGAAAATCCTGTAGTATTCCAGCAGGCGCTAAGAAAACAACCTTCTGAACAATTTAGTACATTATCTCAAGGTGTTTTACATTTGAAATAGGCCTTAATGGCGCTCATTACTCATTAGCCTCCAGGTGTGGGAGAACCATTATCACAGATGTAAGGATCTTTTTGGTCTGTAGAAATCGCATTAGCTAGTCTCTCTGGAATCCAAATCAGCTGCTGTTCTCCCCATGGAAACACACTGGGTCAGGACCTTTAATGATCCTCCACCCGACTGCAGCGTCCTCGGGCAGCCCCAGATGGGGAGTGTCCCAGACTCCTGGGGAGAGTCCCAGGGAATGTCCGGACTCAAACTGCCATGGGGCACAGGGAGCAAGAGCCCGGGAGACCCCGCGCCTCCAGGTCGGGTCAGGTCTGGATTTGGGCTCTCAGCAGTGGCGTCCCGCTCCCGGGCAGGGGGTGGGGAAGAGCCGA